CTGCGAAGTGGTTTCATGTGGCCCACGAAGCCATTCTGGAAACAGTGAGGGAACGGCCCCCTCTGCCTTGGCCCTGGCCCAGGCCAGCTGGGAGCCAATGTACAATTTTGTGGTGGCCATCTATGCTGAAATGCATTCAGTCTTAGCTCCATTAAGCCCCCCCCCCATGGCCTGAGAGGAACAGTGAGGCTCCTCCAGTGGACCATGCCTTGGCACTTGCCCTGGTCCCACTCCCTTCTGCCAGAGACCCTCAGATCTGTCCCACTCCTGCCCAAGCCCCCATAGGCACTCTTGATGCGAACGATGTAGAGCTGGCCACACCCACCCAGTAGGCCACACCCATTCCTTCCACGCCCACCCAGTAGGCTGCACCCACCCTGGCCACACCCACCCAGTCCCCTGAGGGCAACCGCAAAGCTGATGCAGCCCTCAATGAAATTGAGTTTGACACCCCTGTTCTATGCAATATAGGTTGCCCTCGACTTACTACAATTGAGCCCAAAATTTCTGTTGCTAAACAAGATAGATGTTAAAGAGATGTGCCCCGTTTCACAACTTTTTTGCCACAGTTAAAGAAATGATTGCAGTTGTTAAGTGAATCGTGCAGTTAAGCAAATCTGGCTTCCCCCATTAGCTTTACTTGTCAGATCACATGACCCTGGGAGAGTACAACTGTCATAGATACATGCCTGTTGCCAAGTATCCAATTTTTGATCATGTGACCATGGAGATGCTACAACAGTCATGAATATGAAAAAGGTCATAAGTCAGGAAACGAATGGTTGTAAGTTAAGGACTACCTGTACATTTTTACTCCAAGTCAAGTGGCATAAATGTTACATAAATGTCCACCACAATATACAGCATGGACAGTGGTGGGATTCAGCCGGTTCGCACCACTTTGGCAGAACTGGTGGCTAATTTTTTGTTGCCCAGGCTCAGAACGGATGTCCGAAAGCGGCATCCACACAGAAAACCAGTTGTTCACATATTTGAATCCCACCACTGAGCGTGGATCCTCTAAATTGGATTTATTCCTGCATATTGCTCTTTCCAGCTCAAAAGTCCCAAATATTTTTAAAATTTCTATACTTCTGGGCACACTGTTGTAGGACAGCTCATACACACAGAAATGTTTGTAAAATAAGAGACAAGAGGATTTAAGTTCTTCACCCTCACATATTTATCAAGCTACTGCATTTTTACTCTAGAGTAGGAGCAGGTAACCTGCAGTTCTGGAGCCAGATATTATTCACCAAACTCAAATCCACAATTTCCTAACTTATTAGCTACAATATTGATCAAACGCCTCAATCAACTGAGATTCTGGGCAACATACAGTAAAAGCATTATATAGAATAGTTATCATCGTAATGACTGTTATATAATCAGTAATAGCCCATTATCAATCCAGGTTAAAGGCATACAGACTTGGGATAGGAAGCACTTCACAGTCTTGTGAAATACTGTACAAGGACATCCAGTATCTCATGTAGTTCATGAACCTTTACAGGGTAAGATGGTTATATAGTGGTGATAGATCACCTTTGAGAAGGTCTGCTACCAAGCTGGGGCTAGGACACTCAGCAGCTCCCTGTGGTGTTTAGTCCAGCAATAAAACCTGTAGTGTAACTCTCATAATAAACATATAAATAAATAACACCCCCAATTCTTCTTCTCCCCCCAAATCTGGGCCTGTCCAGTAGTAAGTACCCCACCTACTTTGTAGTCTTCAGGCCTTCAAAAACGTTAGATGCCATGTTAATAATGATGGAGAAAAGAGTAACTATGTAAGTTCCATACAGTAATTATCTGTATTATTCCATTTTGAAGGAAAACTTTTCCTTGAAACAACATCCAAAGCACTGCAGTGGGATATATCAAGCAGCATTTTACCAGGCTAAGGTTGGCCTAACGCAGGCATGTCAAACTGCTGGCCCATGGGCCAGATGCATCACTCCAAAACCGCACCCATCCCATTGCCGGCAATGGGGAAAAAGTCCCCATACGTTGTGCGACGTCACGAGTTTGAATGGGTCTGAACATCTAAAGATGATCTAATTGGGGTGTCCTTGACAGGTTCGGTGATGTGAACCAGACAACAGGCCTTATTAGTGGTGGCTCCTCCATTAGCAAAGAAGTTAAAAATATCTTGCTCAAGTGAGTTTGTGTTCCTTAGTTGTTTCTCAGTGCTGGTTATGTGACATCTTTTTTGTATTGTGTTTTATCTTGCTATTATCTATACAGAGCCTGTTGCAATTGAGGCAAGATATTGAACATAAATTAATAAATATATGGGCTGTAAAGAAATGGCTGCCTGAGCTGCCCCAGTCTCTAAAATGCAGGTAGTCTTCGACTTAAAATCACAATTGAGCCCAAAATTTCTGTTGCAAAGTGGGAGAGTTAAATGAGTTTTGCCCCATTTTACGACCTTGCTTGCCACAGTTGTTAAGCGAAGCACTGCAGCTAAGTTAGTAACTTTCCTTCTCAGGAGGTCTCAAAAGGTAAATCACATGACCGCAGGACAATGCACCCATCACAAATATAACCCAGTTATCAAGTACCCAAATTTTGATATAATAATAATAATAGAAAAGTTGGAAGGGACCTTGGAGGTCTTCTAGTCCAACCCCCTGCTCAGGCAGGAAACCCTAAAGCCTACCTATACCAATCAAACCCTATTTGATTGTGGGGATGCTGCAATGGTCAGTTATAAATCACTTTGTTCTGTGCTGCTGTAACAACTCACCTCAAAAAGGGCAGATCAGCAATTAACGGTATCTGATAAAACTATGTATTTCCTTTTATTTTATTTATAAAATACCCCCAGCAAGCTGAAATTAAAAGATCATCCTGGTTGAGGCTAGTGATTTCCTATAAGCCTTCTGAAAAAGCAAAAGCAAATTTTTTGCAACGACGTTACTTTATTTTGAAACCGAAAGATGCCTGGAAGTCTCGTCCTTTAGGCTATAAAACCTGACCGCTCGTCAAGCCAGTATGGATAGGATTTGATCATGCCCCGAGAAATGCCTTTAGCATAGGCACAGAAGAACTCTTAAAACCATTATTTCATTTTATAACGCCCCAGCGCTTGAATTCAGGCTCAAATCCGGCAAACACATTGCAAAACAAAAGAAGAAGAAAACGATTGAGGCAGAATTGGCAAACAAATGCCAATATTTTATTATCTGGCGGAGTTCCTGAGCCATCAGCAGTTGTATGAGAGAATTTTAACAGCTGAAGATTTCCCAACATGGAAATGCACTAATTAGGGTGGGGAGGCGAACAGCAGCCGTTTAATTTCTGCTTGTCATGCAGCTGTTTAGAAGACCCAACATCCCGGGGAGGGGGAGGGGCGGGCTTTTCGTTGCGGAGAGGAGAGGGGAAGGGGGGAACCAGAGCTAGTGGTTGTGCAGTTTGCACAACTACGAGTGTTCTGCAATCCTGCAGCCGCTTGCAAAGTAAAGCTATAGCACTTTCCATTAGAAGCGACGGGTAGATTCTCTTCTCAAAATTGCGTTGGACACACACACACACACAGCGAGGCTGAAACCCCTACACTGAGAGACTTCTCTCAGCAATTTGTACTCCCGGGCTTCTCAAAAAGCCAACTAGGTGGGAACTCCTGCGCGCCTCCTTTGTGGGAAGAATACGGGCGAAGGGGTCAAGCTGCAAAGAGCGGCAACCCATAAAAACCACATCTTGGGGAGCAAGAACCCCGAAACGGCGACAAGTTCCGTCCCGTGGATAGGTCGGTCTCCTGAATACCGAATTAATGAACTTGGAGGCTAAAACATATAAAGAACGGTTGCTAGAACTGGGTTTGCTTAGTAAGGATCAGGGGTGACATGATAGCAGTCTTTCAATATCTCAAGGGAGAGGGAGTCGAGCTATTCTCCAAAGCACCTGAAGGCAGGACAAGAAGCAACGGATGGAAACTAACCAAGGGGAGAAGCAACCTAGAACTAAGGAGACATTTCCTGACGGTTAGAACAATTAATCAGTGGGACGACTTGTCTCCAGAAGTTGTGAAGGCTCCAACACTGCAAGTTTTTAAGAAGAGACTGGAAATCCCTTTGTATGAAATGGTTGGACTAGAAGACCTCCATGGTCCCTTCTAACTCCCGCGTTAGGACACGCTACGAATGTTAAAGTTTGCAGTCCGGTCTGCCATGCTGGGGCCACCGCTCCTGCCTTTAATTCTCGCTTCGGGCGTGGGCGGCGTGTGCGCCAGCCTTCCACCTCCTTTCCCTCCCCCCCCCAACAAGCCGTGTCTGCCTTCCTCGGCTTTTTCTGCCTTCGCGTTTCCCACCGTCACCTCGTCGTGGGGAAACAATCCAGGAGCGCAGTTTTGCAGAAGAGCCTTCGCGCGCGCGCGCAAAAAAAAAAAAAAAAAGGCTCCACCGTCCGCAGCTGGATTGTGATTGCGGCGCTCACCAGCTTCCCGCGGGAGCCGTTCCCCTCTTTTCCCGCCTCGGGCTGTGCGGCAGCGGCGGCGCTTGAATGGCCCGGCGCGAATAAGGCGCGCGGCGAAGCTTAGCGGGGAGGCGGCGCGAGCCGGAGCTGCAACTGCTGGGAATCCCGTTTCCTCTTCGGCCTAGCGAGTGCAGGCGGCCGTGTGAGGCCCTGCTTTAACGCAAGAAGGAGCGCACCTCGCTATCCTTTGGCGAGGTAGAGAGACGGACGGCACCGCGCTGCGGCAGCAGAATAGGAGGAGATCCTCGGTTTTCTGCAGGACACCTGTCCCTTGAACAACTGCTGCCAAGGCGGGTAGATTAATATCTGCAGTTTCGCCGGCAAGGCAATGGGTTGGGGGAAAGCGTCACTTGATTTTTTTATTTTTTGTTGTTGTTAACATTTTTGCTTGCCTTGGTGCTAAAAGACCGAAAGATCCTGCTACACAGAATGGTAACTCCGACGAGAAGGGTCGCGAGGATGTTTTTGTTTCGTTTTTTTAACTTCCAACGAGTGCCGAAAGTGTACGATGAGCTTTATGAAGAAGACTTTTTAAGGATAATCCTGCTGTACTGCATAGCTTCAAAGGAAATACTAAGCCTTTAAAAAAAAAATAACCGATGCCTTCCATATGTAAAACAGCTTTATTCCCTAGTTAATGCTGAATTTCTTGTTAATATAAAGTATGTAAATTTCGTGTTATGCGTGGTCTGGGAGGCGAGATTGTGCCTTATTGTTAACGCGGTTATTTCTGGTCCTTGCGTGGTGCTGTTGGCACCGGGGCAGAGTCTAGTTTATGGCAGATTGTTTGCAGTAACATCTTGATCTATCCGGAGCTGTCTTTTTCCATGAGTTAGGTGGCCAGACACAAGACGTCAGGGCTCCTTAAACGGTTTTCAGGGTTGAGAATTTCAGCAGATGTTTGCACAATAAGCTACACCTGTTCAAATATCTGTTTTTTTTGCACAGAAATATTGGAGCCTTGTCCTATGGAGCTGGCAGCTCCAGCTGCATGTTACTGATGTCAAGATAGTTTCCACAATAGAGACCGCAGAAGGTGGCCATTGTTGTGAAACAAGCAGAGTTGCACAAAACATAACTCATTTCTTTTTCTTTCTCGTTTTGTGCTGCCTTATATTAGTCCCTCACTGGGATTGGCATGTTTTGCAATTACATGGCATTCTTCTGGTAGAAAAAAAAGTCTTATCGTTTTTGTGCTGAAACTTCCCTTCCCATGGAGGGTGCATATCTTAATTTCATAGCATGCATAACCCTCCTTAATCCACCTCCTTTCAAAATATTGAACTGCTATATCAGCAGCAGGCAACCTGATGCTTTCCAGATGTTTTGGACTTCCAGCCCCTTTATGGCCTATAGCAAAGGTTGGGAGGGTAGTCTAAAAATATCTGGCATATGCTAGGTTACCTACAGCAGTTTTCCTTGAACAAATCAATTTTCCCATTGCTTGCACCTTCCCTCTCCCTCCCCCCATGGTTTGACTGAACTGAGAGACTAACACTAATTCAGACATATTAGCCTGCAGCCTAAATGCTGAAGGTGTAGATTGATAATGAGAAAGTGCCATGCTGGTTCATGTCCTCCCTTTTCCATTTGTCTTGGGAATTCCTCTGAGTACAGTACAGGTGGTCCTCATCTTATGACTACAGCTGAGCCCAAAATTTCTGTTGCTAGGTGAGGCAGTTAAATGAGCTTTGCTCCATCTTACAACCTTTTTGCCACAATTGTTAAGTGAATCACTGCAGTTGTTAAGTTAATAACACAGTTTTTAAGTGTATCTGGCTTCCCCATTTACTTTGCTTGTCAGAAGGTCACAACTGCAACCATCATAAACATGCGTCTGTTGCCAGGCGTCTCAAATTTTGATCACGTGATCATGGAGATGCTAAAAAGGTCATGCAAAGTGTGAAAAATGGTCATAAGTCACTTTTTTCAGTGCCATTATAACTTTGAACGGTTACTAAACAAACTGTTGCAAGTTGAGGACTACCTGTTAAAGTCACCACCCTACAGCTAACTCAGCTTGTATATTACAATACAGACAATCCTTAACTTACAACCATTTGTTTAGTGGCTGTTCAAGGTTACAACAGCACTGAAAAAATAACAACTGTTTTTCATATGCCAGTTGCAGCATCCCCAGTGGTCAGATGATCAAAATTTGGACACTTGGCAACTGGTTCATATATATAACGGTTGCAGTGTCCTCAGGTCATGTGATTATTCTTGCAACCTTCTGACAAGCAAATTCAATGGAGAAGCCAGATTCACTTAACAACCGTGCAATGATTCACATTAACAATTGTCTTGCTTAACAGTGGACATTTTGAGCTCAGTTGTTGTCATAAGCAGAGGACTGACTGTAATTATAATGTGAATGTTAGGTTCTATTCTTCAAATCAGGCAAATCTGAGAACGTTCATAGATGGTGGTAGAAATATTATGCTAGGACTATGCCATCATACAGTATGAGCTAGAATTGAGCCAAAGCCATAATTTCCATCTCCAGGTTCTGATTTGATTCTAAAGTTTCCCCTAGAAGGTATCTTGTGGCCAGGTCATCCCATAAATTCCATATTGTCCTTATAGTTAGTGATATAAGCAGCTATTTTACTGGAGATTGTATAAAATAGATGGCGCTTGCTTTCTCTTCCAGAAAGAGGAAGAAAAAAATTTGTAGGCTAAGCAATTTATAACAACAACAGAATTGGAAGGGACCTTAGAGGTCTTCTAGTCCAATCCCCTCCTCAGGCAGGAAACCCTATACCATTTCAGACAAATGGTTGCCCAGTCTCTTCTTAAAAACTTCCAGTGTTGGAGCATTCACAGCTTCTGGAGGCAGGTTGTTGCGCTGATTAATTGTTCTGTCAGGAAATTTCTCCTCAGTTCTAGGTTGCTTCTCTCTTTGGTTAGTTTCCATCCATTACTTCTTGTCTTGCATTCAGGTGCTGTGGAGCAGGGCTTTTCAACCTTTTCACCCATTATACCACTTTTAGGATATGGCAATATCCAGATACCACCAGTCACTTAGCAACATATCAAAAACTTGACGACCAAAAAAGGAAAAAAGTGATGAAATACTAGTAGTCCTCAACTTACAACAGTTCGCTTAGCGACTGTTCGAAGTTACAATGACACCAAAAAAAGTGCCGAGCAAGACACCTGCCTGCCCACCCAGCGGCGCTCTTCCTCCTGTCCGAGGTTTTTGTTGTTGTGAGCATTTCTGTTGAGGATTGGCAGTGGGGGTGGGGTGGGGGGATGTTCGGTTTTTATTCCCCCCGTCTGCTGGGTGATTGCAGCAGGTTTTGGTCACTTCACATGACCCTGGGACGCTGTGACCATCATAAATATGAATCAGTTGCCAAGCATCTGAATATAAATCACAAGACCCTGGAGATGCTGCAACATTCCAGCTGATCGGCACTTCTGGACTCAGCAGAAGCACCAGGATCAACGCTGAGCTCCAGCTGGAGCCTGGCGCTTCAGCTGAGCCCTGACAGCCCTGCAGCTCCAGCCATCTCTCACTCAGGCTTGTGCAGTGCTGCCACTGGTTCAGCTCATTCCCCTCCCCCGCTACCACTTTTATAGGATGGTTGCGTACCACCTGCCAGGTGCCAATGTACTACAGGTGGTACCCGTACCACTGGTTGAAAAGCCTTGCTTTGGAGAATAGCTTGACTCCCTCTTCTTTGTGGCAACCCCTGAGATATTGGAACACTGCTATCATGTCACCCCTTGTCCTTCTTTTCATTAAACTGGACATATCCAATTGCAGCAACTGTTCTTTATATGTTTTAGCCTCCAGTTCCCTAATTTATTGGGCTTTGATTATATAATAAGGAAATCTATTTATGTACTGTATGTAAAAAGCTGGATTTATATACTGTGTCATGCTTTAGCTTACTTTAACTGAGTTTTGTTGACGAAGCTACCGTGCAGGGTTCACAAACAGTTGCTAGGCTGATGCAATGTACTGTTCAATAAATGCTGCTAGAAACTATGACATCAGAGTGACATTGCACACGAGTCATATTATTGCATAAATCAGGATGCAACTGACACAGGTTACATGATTGTTACATCTGTGTAATGGAGTCACTGTATATGTGATGTAACCTCTAACCCATTCATGGTTAAAGTGTTAAATCCAAATCAGGCTGGTTAAACATGATGCATAAACTGATCACTCAGTCGGATACTGAATCACAACTAAGAGTTCACTGGTTTTCCCTCTGACAGCAAAGAGAAAACCTGTGACAATTGTTTCCAAATCTTGAGCAAACAAAAGAACTCCAGATACCCCATGTTAGCAAATAACATTATTTTTAAGCTGGTCTCATGACTTGTGACATCCAGTTACAGATCAACTAGGCTCCTGCCACCCTCAACTGATAAAAAGCAATCTCTCAGATAGACAGATAAACTGCAACTGAGATTTAAAAGAAGGAAAGCTCACTATGCACAATTCTGAGCTTATTTACAAAGAATTGTTCCAATTAGCATGTTAAAGTGTGTTCTTATGCATGGCATTTTAATAAGATTTGCTCTAAAAGGATCTGCAGTGCATATTTGAAAAGTAAATGTCTAGAAGTAGTGAATTCTTTTCATAAGTAATTCCAAACAAGGGGTGCTTATACACCGCCTAAATAGTGGGAGAGAAGGTTAGATTGCAGATCTAAACCCACTTAATTAGCAGTAAGCCCCATTGCATTTAGTGTAGTACTGAAGATGTATTGATGCCTGTATATGAAAATATGCCAAGTGTAAAAAGAACAGTGGCACTTACCTGCTGTTTTATTTTCATTTTATTTTGTCACATAAAGGTTCCAGGTCTTGGATGGAAGCTTTCCTGCAGAACTGGAAAATCAGAGAATATTTTTCTCCATGCTGCTGATTAAAGTACACAACATTGCTGCAGGAGGACGTCACCAGTAGGGCTTTGTAAACCACTGCACCTTAACGAACAATTACTTCCTCTTTCTATTCCATTGTTACTATTACGATTGCAGTCTTAGGCTCACTTAAACTTTGGAATAAATAAGTGCTGTGGTACAGTGTAGCATTATTTTTGAGCAAATGTGCATAGTTCACAACAGAACTTCCCCCTTGCTGTACCCTGGTTGTTCCATATAAAAGAATATATGGGACTGTAGTTGGTGCCTGTTTCATTTCTGTGGTTTGCATGTTTGTTTACTGTGTTTTTTAAATTCATTTTATGCACTTTGAACATTGTAGTTGCTGAGAGGAGCACCACCATGTGGAGGAGAATTTTTGTGGTTGAAATGTTAATTTTGAGCATTCACTAGGGTGCAGAGACAGATAACTAAATTTATTTCACTGTAAATGAAAACGTGAATGTGAAACTGCAAAATAAAAGCAAATTGTAGGGCTAGTTTTAGTCAGTATTTGAACAGGCCTATAAATATAATAATTTCCTGGCATCTCTTCTTCCATACCTTCTGTTTTATATTCAGTGACACATAAAAAATTACAAATATATATCATCATGGCTACTGGAGATTTTGGTACATGGCTGCCACATTCTGGGTCCCTAATATATTGCTTACAGTAATAATGAGCCCATAACGTGTTCCTGGGTGATTCTTTTAATTAAAAAGAAAAATGGAAAGCCAACATGCTGCAGAGCAAAATATCAGCCATAAAGATAATTATGTTTTTCAGTGATCCATGGGACCCAGAGGCATATTTAGAGCCAACCACTGTTTTCTCTTGGTAAAGGGGTGCTTTAATGATGGCTTGAATGACCATCGTAGAACATTTTCTGACAATATACACTTGAACATACTCTTAAAATTCCAGGTCTGCCCACTGACTCAAAAGATTGGGGTCCTTTGTTTTTTAAATCATAGCTTTAAAGGAAGAGTTAGGTAACCTATTTTGGATTGTAGATGCTCTGTTGTGTGTGGGTGTGCAAAGACTTGAACTTAAGAAAGTGGTTGAGCCAAAGGAAAATGGGCAAAGCCAGAAGCAAAAGGTGGATAAGGAAAATAGCAAATAAGACAAGGATGTAAATATTTAATAAATAAAGTACTGTATATGAATAAAAGCAGCAGACATTCCAAGGGGTCCAGAAGATAGACATGATAACCCATCCATATATCTGGTAGCCTTGGACATTATTTTTTCTTCAAACTGAAATTACTTTAGTCTGTATTTTGTTTTGCTCAACTGTTTGTCCTCAGATGAGGCATTGAAACAGAATGTCAAGTTTAAACAGTTAAGAGATCAGTTGTAGGATACTTCTGAAGTTTAATTTTACTTGAATGCTTTCTATAACTAGTAAACACCTATCAGTGCATGTAATATTTCATTTATTTTTATCTTTTTTCTAACCCAGATTTAGATCTTAATTCTTTTATTTCATTGGACTATACAATCTAACATGCATGGGATTAGACCAAAATTAAGTGTATATTGACTTTTGCACAGTGTTATGTTCTCTGGATGAAATTTCTCTTTTTCACTTGCACATTTTTTCTTATACACATGTACATTCTTGATACCATAGGATGATGATGATGATGATGATAATAATAATAATAATAATAATAATAATAATAATAATAATAATAAAAGGTGGAAGGGACCTTGGAGGTCATCAAGTCCAACCCCCTGCTCAGGCAGGTAACCCTATACCATTTCAGACAAATGGCTGTTCAGTTTCTTCTTAAAAACTTCCAGTGTTGGAACATTCACCGCTTCTGGAGGCAGGTTGTTCCACTGGTTAATTGTTCTAACTGTCAGGAAGTTTCTCCTTAGTTCTAGGTTGCTTCTCTCCTTGATTAGTTTCCATCCGTTGCTTCTTGTCCTGCCTTCAGGTGCTTTGGAGAATAGCTTGACTCCCTCTTTTTTGTGGCAGCCCCTGAGATACTGGAACTCTGCTATCATGTCCCCCCTCGTCCTTCTCTTCATTTAAACTAGACATACTTTTCCTTATATGCTTTAGTCTCCAGTCCCCTAATCATCTTTGTTGCTGGCAGGTTAATATGTGGTAGCCAAAAATCAGAAGTTTGTTAGCACTTTTTGAGACATCATTAAAAGGCATCAGATTTCCTGAGCTATTTTTTTTTTACTGTCGTTCCTGGTAGTCCTGTATGTTTCATCACAATGCAAACCTGAGATTCTGCTATGGCAGTGGTTCTCAACCTTTTTAATGCTGCGACCCCCAACCGGTCATAAGTCGAGGACTACTCAACCGGTCATAAGTCGAGGACTACTCAACTGGTGCAGCACCGTTTGCAGAATGGGACTTTTGGCGGGCTCAGCAGGGCAGAGACAGCCTGGACAATTCCTATTGGCTTTTGAAAGCCAATAGAATTAGACTCTATTCAAGAGAGTCTATTCTATTGGCTTTCAAAAGCCAATAGAATAAAAGGGAGTAGCACAGCTAAGGAAAAGGGAAAAAATGGCGGACTGCGTTGTTTGGCGACCCCCGTGAAATGGTCGTTCGACCCCAAATGGGGTCCCGACCCACAGGTTGAGAACCACTGTGCTATGGGATTGCTTTTAAATTAAGCATATTTTCAATAACCAAAGGACAGCGACCTTTTCAGGCCCTGAATGTCTTCCTGACCGTGTATAGTGCAAATGGCCCCAAAATTCACTTCATAAGAAGTATTGAATCAAATATTGTTGGGCTATATTGGCAACCTAGATTTAAGACTTGCTGATGATATTGTTTTCATATTGAAATGCAAGGTTTATGTTGTTACATATGTGCCTGCTACTACTGTTTTAAGTTTTCTATTGTGTAAACCAACTGGAGTAGATCTCACTTCAAAAGTTTGACAATGGTGTGAGTAAATATGGTCAACGCTACATTTCTCTCTTTTTAAAAATGTACTGTTTCATTTAACATTGCATCTTCCTATCCCTAAAATATTAATTGCCTGATGAGCAAGTATCAGAAAGCGTTCTAACATGCATGCTGCAAAGATTCTACTGACGTGCCCAAGAATTTGCAGGTATCTGAAATTCAAGTTATTTTTAATAGGAATGCTATCCATCTCTTTCTGTCTTTGGATTTTATTATTTAACTTGACTGCAATGTGAGGGCTCAGTCCTAAAAGGTTGGAGGGGTTAACTAAAGTGTATTTCAGATATGCAGAGATTCCTTTTTTCAGAATGAGTTAACTTAGATTCTCTGTTGCTGGTACAGATTGTAGCTTCAAAGACTATAAACATAAAGCACATCACATTATCAAAGAAGGAAAGGACCAAAGTCTAACTACAATAGGTTAATTTGTCTCTTGATTTCCTTCCAATTGCAAGTTAGTATTGCTTTTGAAAAAATTCTAATATCCAAGGAGAAAGTCTTGGTGATTACTGTGACTCAAAAGAAGGAATGAATAAAATAATAAATTTTTAAAAAGTTCAGTACCCAGTGAACTGGTTAAACTTACCACTGTCCTTTTGGAGGAAGAAAAACATAGCCAGTTTGCTTTGATTTCCTTATACTCATTTAGATAAGGCTTGATACCAAACTGAGCAAGGAACTCCAGTCTTAAATCCCTTAAATTCAGTAACACAACTTCTAATGTATTTAATATAAATGGAAGCCCAAGTTGTGTTAATGAAATGATCATCTTGTGACTGTTTAGAGAGAACAGTCCGTTCACTAGATATTTCTAATATAAGGAAAGTGAAATTTCTCACCACAGGATGAATCCAGCACATATCACACACCACGTGGGCTCATGAAAGATTTCCTATATGTCATACTTTCCCATAACTCCTCTTATCTCTTGGCTGTTATCTCAGAGTTGGGGAGGATTTTTAAAAAATTGGTTTGCATATTATAGCAGAAACCCTGTGCTCTGGGCTTTGACTTGCAGGTTATTTCTGGCAGGTTATTTTTGAAAGTAGTTCAAAGGCTTCTGGAGAACTTTGTGATCTTCAGAGTCTTCATTATTTCTTTGACGTTTAATCTCTAGAGTGAATCTTTCTCTAAAGCAGCTCTATTGCTGTTCTCGAAGTTAAAAAGACTGTCAGTTTCTGGAGCAGATCAAATTCCATCTGTGCTTCAGAGAATCCATTGCTACTAGATAATTTGGCATTTCATCTCTGAGTGTTAACATTTTGAACATTTTCTCCCTGTTATGTGCAAGCATCTTAGCAAACATGCAACGTGCAAATTGAATTGCAAAAAAACAAATAGATTTGGACACAATATTTGTGAAGGAAAGGGGACCATGAGTGTTACTTAGTTATTATTTCAATATATACTCTGTTTTAGGAGAAGGTTATCTTGCAACTAAAAACCACTGTGACTGGATCTGCACAGTTGGATGTCTATCTGCCAGGTATAGTTTTTGTGGCCATTTCCCAGTTCAATTCTGGATCTTAAAAGATTTCATCCCTCTAGTCTCATTTGTTAAATCCCTGAATCCTGTTTAGATAATAAAAAGGCTTTGATGTTCCTTGATTACTAAAATATTTTATCTAAATCTTTTGAAAGGGGGGACGACAGGCAGGCTGAGAAACATAATGTAGAATTTGGCAAAGAGAGATAGAACATCTTACCTGGAATTAGGATGGAACTGTGGGGTGTGGAAGAATTACTGTTTGACAATCAAGCAGGAATAACTTTTGGGGTGCCTGCTTTCTTGTTCAATCTCCTAGTTCTGTATATTTCTTATAAAGAGGGGAAACTTTCTAATGCATCCTCATTCCTGGACAAGCAGTAATTAAAGGGCCAACAGTTTATTTCAGCCAGGAAAACATAGTTATAGCAATAGCACTTATATACCACTTCACAATGTTTATAGCACTCTCTCAGCAGTTTACAGAGTCAGTATATTGCCCCCAACAATCTGGGACCTCATTTTACAGACCTCCGAAGGATGGAAGGCTGAGTCATCCTTGAGTCAATGAGAATTGAACTTGTGGCTATGGGCAGAGTCAGCCTGCAATACTGCATTTTAACCATGTGCCGCCATGGCACAATTATACACAATTGCTTATACATAAGCAATTCTTGTTAATGGATAGGGGTATCAGTTCTTACATCCCACTCCACTAAGGCATTTTCAAGAGGACAGGAATAATGAGACAAAAGTTTTAGTAATGATTAAGAATGAAAATGGTAAATTTAATCTCAAAGATTCTTCCACAGGCAAAGTTTCATTAGGCATGTATTTGTAGTTCCTTATTTTTCTTGGCTTTTGGCTAAATGTACCTTTTGTATTTGGATCTTAAAAGGAAAGAAGGCTCATAATTCAGCTGTCTTGAGCAAGAAGACACCTGTTAATATAAGAGAAAGGGGGAAGGTTAAATAAAAAGAACTATGGTTGTATTGAAAGAACAGATACTCCCAGGTAGTGTCTAAGATGGTACAATCAGTTTTGTTGTTGTAACGCTCAGTTCCCTCTT